ATATTGTTGGGTAATTATTGTGATTACGTTGTTGCTGATGGATCTTCCATTGACCAATGAATCATGACTGTGGTTTCATGAGGAGACTTAATATACATATTTTTGTATCGCAATTGTGCATGTTTGTTCTGATGGCTGAGTAACATAGTTTGAAGCTAGACACCGCCATCTTCACGGACGCTTTGTTTACTTGAAGACCATTTTGTAATATTCATAACTGGCTATTATTATTGTGAAGAAAAGAAAAACTGCACGGATTTCCCTCAAACAACGTTGATGTCGTTTTTCAAGTTTCTGATCGTTATTCGCTTTAATCTTTGGGTGTTGGTGTTGTCACAAATAGGTTGTACATCCTTGAACATGATATTCCACAGTTACAAGATTAAGGTAGATAACGTGTTTCACCCACTGGGATAAGTTTTAGTCGAAGAATGTTTGTAGGAATTCAGAAAATATTGACAAGCCATCTGAGTTTTATGAACAGTGATGCTTGAGGGATGCTGTAGACAGACACAACATCTTACTGGGATGTCTGGAGTAAAAAAGTGTGAAAGGGTAATTAAGCATCTGCTTCGCGTTCGTGTTGCGGTTACAGAACTGCCATCTGCAACTTTGAACTCAGAGAAAAAGTTGGCATAAATAGAGATCCTTAATTTAAACTTTGCGAGCCCAGAGTTTGTGTAAATATTTTAGCCTCGATTAAGAACGCTTGGACTCTCATCTCGGCTTCCGGCACAGTCTTAAATAGTTCATTAAAAACTGTAAGTCCACGCGCTGCTGATGTAACTGGAAACTTCATTCTGCCGCTCCTTTTCGTAATTTGTCCCTGACTCTGATTTTCGCTTTACTTTTATTTTAACCATCTGAATTCGTTCCGCGTCACCGGATTAACACCCTCTGACGTCGAGAATTAATTTTCTTGCTCGGTAGTTGGGCGGAAAAGTTTTTGCTACAACGACAACCGACAGACATTGGCTGATGCAGGAGGTACAAGATACGGCGACTGGCATAAAGAAAAGAAATACTCAGAGAAAAGTCGATTCATCGGAGAAAGTGGCCACTGAAGTTGGAGGTATCATAATAGTCACCGATGATAAATCGAGATAGACATATCTGTTTGCAAAATTTCCATTCCAGACATCCAAATGTACGGTATTCTAAGCTGTTGCCATGATTCACACATTGAACTAACGTTTGTTGTCGTAAATCGTTGATTTATATATTTTAAAATTCAATATATAGGGTATATTTATATAGGGTAAGTGTGGGAGAGATGCCGCGTAGGGATAGACGCCGCAGGTCACGTGGTACGCGCATGTGTTTAGTGCAAACGCTGGCAACTGCGATATTAGAAGCCAGTGGTCTTACGAAGGTTGATTATGTGGTTGGTGTGTTGTTTATTTCACGTTCAAAATTCAACAATAAACCGGTAAGTAGATACCTTTCGCTCCGTTAAATTTTATAGGGTACTTTTAAACATATTTCGGATCGAAGCGGCCGATATTTGTATTATTCGGATTAGATTGGCTGCCTTATCGACTAATGTGTTCATATTGGGTTATGTTTTCATTTTGGATCTCATCACGTTTCTCCCATCGAAAAGGGAGAGATGCCTCAAACATACGTAACATGGAACGGATTCCTTGAAAAGTCAAATCAACTTTTATTCAAAAAAGCTTAGACATACAATTCGGTACTGTTGCAAGTTGCGCTCGGCTTGTTTGAGTAAAAACTTGATATATAATGTGTCTTGAACAGTTGATATTAGGCGTCTTTTTAACGGAAACCAATAACAAAAAAGAAGTATAATATTCTACAGGCTTGATAATGCTAAGGAATATACGCAAGAAGCCTCTGCCAAATCAAGAGGAACATATACAGATGAACAACTAGTCACAGCAATCGAAAAAGTCAAATCTCAAGAGATATCGCTAGAGAAGCCGAACGAAGATATGGCGTTCCAGCACGTACTATTGATCGTAGAATTAAATCTGGAAGCTTACAAAGGGTCCTTGGACCTGAAGGTAAAGTTATAATAGTTTTTCAGACATTATTGGTAAATGAATAGATTTTTTTTCCAGGTGTACTTGGACAATCAAACGAAAGGAGGAAGGTGACCCATATTAAAAAATTATGTCAAGCTGGATTTGCACCAGGCCGTATCACAGTTCGAAAAATGGCGTTTCATTTTGCCGAAAAACTTAATATAAAACATACATTTTTAAAAGAAACTGGAAAAGCTGGAATCCAGTGGCTTAGGTCCTTCATAGAAAGGAATCCGGACCTATCAATTCGTCAGTCAGAGGGATTATCATTGGCCAGAGCACTAGGTATGAATCGCCTAGAAGTAGCCAACTTTTTCAAACTTTTGAAACATGTTTTATTGGAAAACAATCTGATTGACCGCCCATCAAACATTTTCGACATGGACGAAGCTGGAATTCAGCCCATAAATAAGCCAAGCAAAGTTGTTGCACCCAAAGGTGCAAATGATGTGCAAATTTTGACATCCAGAGAACGGGGAGAAAACGTGACGGTTATAGGATGCTGTAATGCTGGAGGTGTGTTTCTTCAACCAGTTTTAATTTTGAAAGGAGTAAACCGAAAGCCTGAATTTTCAAATGGTTTACCAGCGGGTTCCTCCATTTACATGACCAAAAAAATCTTCCTTTATCACATCAGAACTCTGAAATGGCTCAGGGAGCATTGTATTCCGAGAAAGCCTCCAGGAAAAACTCTGCTCATCATCGAACATTCATTACATTGTTCTGACCTTGAAATGCTAGAAATTGCAAATTAAAATGATATTATTTTATTATGTCTGCTTACTCATTGTACACAGGCAATGCAGCCTCTGGATAAAAGTTTTTTTGGACCGTTAAAGTCTTATTGGAACCAGGAATCCAACACTTGGATGATTAATCATCCTAATAGAAACCTAACAAGAAACCAAGCAGGAGAACTACTTGGAAAGGCTTGGATTCGGACAGCTACAGCAGCAAATGCTATATCTGGCTTCAAAAGTACTGGCATATTACCTTTATGTGATACCAGACCATTTTTATGCTATATCGCATTTATCATCAAGAGAAATAAATGGAAGTAGTTCCACGACTGAGACACCACCAGAGGATTCATGGAATTTGAACCAGCAATTTTTAGAGCCCCAACCTAGTACTTCAGGTATAAATTTGAATAACACAAGAGAGAAGTCCCCAGAATCCCAAGGCATCGCTTCCAAAAGTTCCATTATCCTTTAGTAAAAGAAAGCAATCTGCTACATTGCTTACATCTCCAGAAACATCCTTCTAAAGAAAAACAAGCAGTAACAAGTAAAAAAAGCAAACAAAAACATTTTGATCACGATTGAAGAGAAGGAATAAAAAAAAAACAAAATCTAAACGTCAAAAAAGCCGGAAAATGGCAATTGACCGTGATCATGGTGGTGAGTAATAATTCAAGTGATGAGGAACCATTAGCTAGAAAAATAAAAAAACGGGAACTAACAACTGAGAAGAAGCAGATGCACTCAAGACCTGAAGCTTACGAGGAAAAATCCTTGAATAAAGTAGAAAACTCTGAAGAAAATTGGTTTTGCATAGAATGTTTTGAACAATATAGCCATACAACAAGAAAGTAGATTGGATACGTTGTGTAATCTGTCAAAAATGGTTACATGAGACATGCACTATGCATACGAACACCTGCAACATATGCCAGCGCGAGGAAATGAAAAAATACGTGTTAGTTAATACGGCGTCTCTGCCATAAGAAAAGTTACACGTGAGCAACTCTCCCATACTCTGAAGGACAGACGCCTGACAACAAAGTTTTGGGAAAAATGTTTTTTTGGTTATTGGAATTAAAATCTTTATTTTTTTTATATTTTTGTATATTGTAGATCAACTAAATGTACCTTTACCATTTTAGTAAGAAATATATTATAGAAATGTCCATGTGACTTAATACAGCGTCTTTCCCATAAGAAAAATTACACCTAGCAACTATCCCTCTAAATGTGAGCATCTCTCCCATACCCTGGGGGACAGACGCCTGAAAACAATGTTTTGAAAAACTTTTTTTTTTTGGTTATTGGAATAGTAATTTATTTTTAGTTTTTTATATTTTTGTATATTGTAGATCCCCAAAATTTAACTTTGCCGTTTTTGTAAGAAATATAATATAATAAACGTCCATCACACGATTTTATTTGTAAAAGTGTTGCAACTGTCACAAACTTACCCTACGTCTTAAAGTGCAATGCTCCAGCGGCCAGTTGCTGTGTTAGCAAGGCACACAGTCAGCAGACTGGAGAAAAGGGCATATATTTTTATCGGTAAGCGAACTTAAAATTCAGGAGGCTGGGAACTCCAGTGGTGTGAGGTTGCCGTCCAATGAATTCACGATTTTACTCAAGTGGATATTTTAAGGTCAACTTGAGATTTGAAGTACTACCTCTACTCTTTTAGGCTGCCTACTGACCCTTCAAGAGGATCTATACTATGGGTATTACTTATGGGGTTCGAGACACACTATTAGTTCACAAACACGATGATGTCTTATCAAAACATTTCAAAAAAGCGATTTAATGATAATGGCTGAGTTAGGCATCTGCGATGTAATGCTGTTCCAGTTCCTGTCCATTCTGCTCTGAACTTAATCTCTTCGGGAAGCCAATTGAAATTTTCATTTGGAGGAGAACTTTACATTGTGAACGGTATGTACAGATTGATGCTTTGTCTCAAATTATAGACCCATATCAGTACTATCGAATATAGCCAAAATTTTCGAAAAATTACTACAAAAAAGGATATTACAATTTTTGGACAAAAACAAATTATATGTTGTGACCAATATGGATTTAGAAAAGGAAAATCTACTACAGATGCAATTTTGGCTGCAATGGATGAAATTAACTCTAATGTCAACAAAAAGATACCTACTATTGGTATCTTTGTTGATTTAAAAATGCCTTTGATACGGTTAACCATGTCGAGCTTCTGAAAGTTATGGAAAGATTGGGATTTAGGGCAGCGTCACAAATCTTTTTAAAAAATTACCTTTCAAGTCGGGCACAGACTGTCAAAATCATTAACACTTACAGTAAAAAAATTACATCAAGTGTGGTGTGCCTCAAGGAACAGTACTAGGCCCACTATTATTTAGTCTCTACTTAAATGACTTATTCAAAATTAAGAGTTCTGGAAAGATTATATGTTTTGCAGATTACACCCTCGTATTATATAAAGCTGATGACTGAGCACACTGAAGCAAATAGCTGAAAAGGATTTTATAAGGATCATTGACTGGTTTGATACTAAAATTTTAACAGTTAACTTCAAAAAAACAAAATTTATTGCATTTACATCCTATTCAAAATTTTTACCTACCTTCGAACAAATTTCCGTTAATTATCATGGCCAAAAGACCAAAATCGATAGAGTTAACACTTTGAAATATCTTGGAATATTTATAGACTCACATCTAAGGTGGGATAACCATATTAAATGTGTTATCAAAAAAATTAGAAATGTTGCCTATAAACTCAAAATGCTTGCTAACATTCTTACAGAAAGTTATCTGCGTATCCTATACCATGCCTTAGTTGAAACCCATATAATATACGGCATCACAGCCTGGGGTGCCGCCTGCAAGACATATATTTCTGACCTGAATATAGCACAAAAAACTGTTTTGAAAGCCATTTTCCATAAGCCAAGATTATATCCAACGAACAACTTATATCAAGAACAGGGATACTTGATACAAGACAACTTTATTTCTTACATGCCACCACCTTATACCATAAGTATTGTAATAAAAAGAAAAAATCCTATAAACACGAGCATAACACACGATTTAGAATAGGCTCATCTAATATCCAAAGACCACACAAAACATTATTCAAAAAATAATTTAAATTCTTAGCAGCTAAATTATATAACGTAGTACCAAACGAAATAAAGATACTTAATTTTGGAAAAAAATTTAGAAGAAAATTGAAAGACTGGGTTAGTAATGTGCAGCGAATGACTATACATAATTATATAGAAAACTAAAACTACAAAATTCCAATTACATTAATACCTTTTAGATTTAACAATAATTGTTATACACATATATGATTGATTGTTAGTTATTAAGATATAAACCACACGCAGGCGATGCCTTCTGTGTTTTTTCATATTTATTTGCCCATTTTTTGTATTTTGGCGAATAAATATTATTATTATTATTATTATTAGTTGATGTTCTGCTAGAAACCGTTCTCAAACTTTTCATAAAAATAAATGTGAACACAGTCTTGAAACTACAAAGACAGACTAAGACTGAGGCTGTCATCAAAGTGAATCCATAGGAAGTTTATTTGGTGTTCCAATTGTGAGTTTGCATCTTGTAGTTTAAAATTTAAGGGACTGAGCTTTTTTTTAGCATTGCCTTTGTGGTTACATAATAAAAAATATAGCACATATATTCAAATATTGCTCCTATAGTACTTACTTCAGAAAACTCAAGTTGCAAATGCTGGCTTTGATTATACATTCTTGCTGTGTGAAAGTTTCCTACAGTTTCCAACTCGACGTCGAAGGCTCAATAAAGCATTTCCAGTCGTAGTTTTTTACTTTCTGAAGTTCTGACATCCTTTCAGATCTAATTACCAATTACCAACGTCTGACGTAATTAACAACGAGGCGTCCATATTTCGGCTTTGATCTCACTCATGACAGCTTCATCGGGAAGATTGATAAACAAGTTTTAATTCATCTTTCTGGAGATATTAAACAACTTCTGTGTTAATATTTAATTTCTGATTATAGGAGAAGATGCAGCATGTTTCTAGTTATTTTAGCAAAGATAGATCTCCTTTTACTTCCCAAGCCTGCTGGTAAGGATATACTGTAATCGCGAAAAACTTGTAAAATAAATTATTTTATATCACATGTACATCACAAAAAACCAAGCCTGTTATGTCCGTCGGTCTGTGGATCTCTCTGTAGGTCTGTCGGTTTGTTTGTCTGCTTACAATTAGCGCGTCTATAACTTGGAGGGTACCTCTAGGATTTTGATGAAATTTTTGCACGATATAGCTACTACCGCAAGTATAAAAAACTTTGAAATTTCTGAAAATCGGCGCGTTGGCGGCTGCATGAAGGGTAAAAATAAGAAATAAAATCAATTCAAATAAAATCATGGAAGAGTTAAATTGGTGGTCGTGGGTTGTCAGGGGGGGGTGTTGGAGGGTACATCTTTTGGCGGCAGTATGCTTATACGTTTCAATTCCGATAATACTACGCTCATATAAGTACATGTTCCACACATCGTAGATTTCCCCATACATTTGGCCTTAAATATAAATATTTCGTCGGCGTTCTCGATCTGGAGTTATAGCATTGTGACTAGCGATAATGCCATAGTGGTTCACCAACGTTCCCAGATGGTCGACGCTTAGGGCAGGGAAGAAACTACCGTTAGCTTTACCCAACGGATGAGGACTATGGACTATGGAGTAATCGTATGAGCCTATTTGGCTGACTTGATCCATTTTAACTTTTTACATCCTACGCCTACTGGCTGGATCCAGAAATTTCCCCCTTGAATATTGACATTCGATTAGGAGAATAATAACGTTTTGCACTTTGGAACGCCTATGTTCCACGGGCCGTAGATGACGATATGTATGCCATAAACAATCTCTAGATGCACTTTTATGTAGATCACGGTATCTCTGACAATCTCAGTCGATTGTTTTCCAGGTTTGTTTTAGTTTGTAAGCCTTTGACCAGGTTTTCGGTCTCTGGTCCATAGCTAAAGGGCATTTTTTTATTGGCATTGATATTGGCATGTCCAAGCTTTTCTTGTCAGGACGTCCATAAAAACGATAGATTTAGTAAACTGTATGAGAAAGGAAATGCCATTGAAATAACAATCAAAATTCCGGCTATGATCAAGCTCGTCTAACCTCCTTGGTAAAAAAGTCTTAAGTTCATTTTATATAAGACTTATGTGAGAACGGTCGCTTAAGGAAACACCGGCCCCAACAACTGTTTTATAGCTAAAATTAGCTTCGGAATGCGCACTTCCAGTACCATTTTCCTATTCGATTTATTGCTCAACCGAATGCAATAACACGTTCAAATTCAATTAATTTCGTTTGAAGAATTGTTTGAGAGAAACGATTAACTCGCGCGCGAAACGCGTTTGTTCTGATAAATAAAACCGATAGAGCCAGCTACCGGTATTGGAAGAAGCACTTTTCTACGTGACATGACCGGCATATATGTCTCAATGCAATTCTTTATCTTATGATTGCACCCATATCTTCGGATTTTGGACAGGGGAAGGCTTTTTAAGCCTCTATAAGTTGGCCTGGTGTGCCAAAATCACGTAACCTCTTTTTTTCTATTTATTACTTATCAGTAATTTCTCCTCATTGATAATAGAGTACCCATTCCTAGGCCAAACCCCTTCTCAATGATTTCCTTTTTGCAAATTTAATAGTTTATTGATTATGCAATTTCACTCGTATTATATCTTTCTTTCTCAGCAAAAAACTCTGGAGTTTTTCTCCGTTAGTTGGCTTCCTATAAAGCATATATTCTTCAAGGCTCCTCAAGATTCCTTCCTCTAGAACAGAGTTCT